AATAAATAAATAGCAAAATAAAAGAGATAAAATAAAAAAAAACATTGTTTTGTTTTGTTTTAGGTAAATTCTCACTATGTAGTGCAGGTTGACCTTGAGTTCGCTGTTAGCCCAGCCTGGCCTTGAACTCGGTGATCCTCTTGCCTCAGCCTCCTGAGTGCTGGGGTTACAGTCACACGCCACCGTGCTAGACTTAAAAACATTACTAATTTACAAAACTTTGTGTATTTTGATGTCTCTTAAAAAAAGGGCTTAACATTTGAAGAGCATTTAAGGTATTTATAAAGTTATTTTATACTATGGAGTTTTAGGATGCCTTAAAATTATACAATAATACATGTCTTATTTTAATTTTTACTTATTTGTATAAAATGTAAAGGATTTTATTTACTGCTTTCAATAGAATACTATTTCAAATTCTTTTAAAATTTTATTAGGAAAATGTAAAACTTACTGTTGTGCTGTTTTGCATTATAACTTGTTAATTTTAACAAATAATGATATTTAAAATTCTCATATAGAACAGTCTAATCTTTGTTTACTTGATTAATTTTTTTTTTAATACAGAATTTTGAGCACCACAGTAGCCGATTGGCACCCTCTGTTGGTCATTTTATTTACCTACAGACAAATACAATATAAGAAAGATGAAAACTTGTCTTTTTATGTTTATCATTTAATTGGTATTTGCAAGTCTTGCCAAAATAATGCTCTGAACTAGGTTCATCTAAATAATCTATTTGTCATTTAGCTGTGCATCATTTCAGCAATTTTATAGTTACTTTTTTCCTGGGGCTGGCTCTGTAATTGTAGCATTTAAAATTGGCATTAATAGTGTAGATTTTCAAACAAGTATTTATTTAACTGTGGCAAACTATTAGCTACAGTAGCACATTATTAAACAGATAATGCTCAACAGTTTCATTGTTAATTTGGATTAATTGGAAAGCCATCTACATTCCAGTACCCTAAATAACAGTTTGGAGAATTATTTGAATTGAAAAGACTTCAAGCTTCAGAAAACTGAGGCTGTGTTCTTTTCTCACTTTCTTTAAGACAGAATTGTTCTGGAAGATTTTATGCTTAAATAGATTTATATTATATTTTGATGATATTTCTATATAGTGAATTTCTTGGCTCATCCTAAAAAATGCCTGTACAAATTTATAATTGTGATTAAGAAAGCTACACTTGGCTAGGTAGTTGAGTAGTCTGCAGGGAAATTTTTGCTTTTGAGGGGTTGGTAAATAATCACCTTTGCCTTGCGTGCTTCTGGTATTCAGAATTTCATTTGCCAGCAAGAGCCTCAAATTTTATGATGCCCACTTCATTCAACTTTAGTATATTGTGTCTATTCCATAAATTATCATTTCAGAGCTTCTGGCATTTTTTTATTTAAATAAATATTTTAAAAATGTATACATTCTTATATAGATGTTTTTGAAGGTATTATTTGCAAATGCCAACCAACAGTCTTTGTATAGAATTTTTTGTACCACTTTGAGTCAGTTGAAGTTTATATTTGATTTCTAGTGGCTCTTTCACTGTGTTATGTAGCTAAAATATGTATTAGGCTTCCGCTGAAGCATGAGAAAGAAGTTCTCCAGAGTAGCAAAGTAAGCTTTGCCGTTGAATTTTGACTGTTAAGTTTCTTTTTCAACGAAACATTATTTTGAAATATAGTAATTGAACAAAGTGATTAGGTAACATTCGGAAATTATATGACTTTAAATCTGCAATATTTTACTCATAGCCGACGTGTGACTCCTAAGTACCATGTAGGTGTCCCACAGAAACGGATCTACTTGAGTATGTCAGTAAGTTAGAGCCCACGTGGAATGTATGCCTTCTATGGCGCTGATGTCTTTCATCTAGTAAAATGCAAGGTGTTACAAATTGGGATATATGCATGAAGGCAGACAGTTTTTAGTTTGGTTACTGAAGGCAGTGAGTTAGTATCCTCTTATTCAGGAAATTAGTTGACTTCCCACTTCAAACTTCCACCCAGTCTTTCTCCAGAAACTTGCAAAATCACATGCCATTCAAGTGGAAAGTTTCCATCTCATCATGTTTGAAGTACCTCATTTAACTGCCGGCAGTCAATTAGCTAACCAAATTGAATAGGGGCAAGAAACACAAAAACACTCGTGAAAATATTGCCTTAGAAATGGAATCCTAATCTCTAATTGCAAGTTATTAGGAAATGGGGTAGTGGGGAAATATTTAAGGAGGGGGATTTGTCTAGCAGGAGACATCTACTTTGAAAGGCATTTTTTTTTTTAATGACAGTGTATCCTAACATCAGATTTGGAAGTGTTCCGTGTCCCCAGACTTTCATTTGAAGGCTTTTCTGTTGTATTTTCTTTCCACATTTGTGTTCACTCACTTATGATCACTTTAGTTAATTTATTTTTTGCCTTAGTAAGTACTTAGTTCTTTGGAATTTTGGAAAAATGAGATGTAGTATTAACTGCCTATAAATGTAGTGTCATTTTTTTTTATATTTATAAGATTCTCTAGAGTAAGTGAGGGACTGTTGAACAGCACATATTGGAAAGAGCACTTTTCAGGGCTCTGAATCCAGTAAGCTAGAAACGTGACTTGTGAAATAGTGATTCAAGTTATTACCCTTCTTGGGACCAGGACAAATATTACGCATCCTATTTATAAATGCAGCAAAAAGCTTTCATTGTTAAGACGCCAGCACACGATAATCAGGGAATATAAAATTTATAAGAAAAAAATCAAGAGATTGGCTTTATGTATTTCTTTGAAGTCCAGGCAGCCACTTTTGGGTATATATTTGTTTGACTATAGATGGGTATATATATGTTTTGGCATTTGGGAAAGACAATATAATTGTTTATTATGAAGATCTGTTTTGTTTATAAGTTTTTCTCTTGGCAGTGACGTGCATTTTGAAAGTAAAGAACGAACGGCCTGTAAAGGAAAGCTGGCCATATCAGGTATGCCGTACATGGATCATTCTATTTTGGTGAAAAAGTTGTGTAAAGTAACTGGAGTCATCAAGTTTTGTTTTAGTTTACTTCTAGCCTTTTCACACTTCGGCCAAAATGTTTGTCTACAGTTTGGAATAATGGCTCCATAGTAGGTGCTTCTCTCTTCAGCGCGGCCTGGTAACCGGGTGGGATGATGACTGTGCAGACTTTGAGGCTGAGCGACAGGCTGGAAGCGGCCGCCTGAGCAGCAAGCCCGGTGGTGGGCTCTCCTCTCCTTTCCTGGGCTATGGGCTTGGCACCCTGTCCGTCTTGTTCATCACTCTCTGCCTAGAGGCCAGCACAGCACGTGGCATGTAGAGGACTATTTTTTGTCACCTGTAGCGTAAAGACCACACTTTTCCTAGTTTGCCATTTTGGCCTGGTTTTTTTCTAGCCATTATCTTCCATTATGCCTATGTATATGCTCTCTATTTAGGCAGACATTTCTTTCCTTCTGCTGTCAACAAACCCCAGGCTTCAGATACCTAATTAGCTTGTGAAATAACTGTTTTCTTCAGATCTGTTTGCTCATCTATAAAATGTCCCTGCTACCATTCCAGCCAGAAGTCATGCTTGCGCAGCTGGAGCACCTCTGCCACTAGATGGCGCTTGCGCTGTGTAGTCTCAGTTTCTCCAAAGTGCTAAGGAAGCCAAAGACAATGGCCGGAGAGACCCGGGTACTGGAGGGGACGCACAGGTGACTGTAGGGGTGCACTTGGCCAGATGCTGTCCATCAGCACATGTGGGAAGCAGCTGTGTGCCCCCATCACTCCTGAAGTGGGAAGGCCGTGTCTCGGGGAGCCCCCTGCTGCAGGGCAGGCTCCAGCTCCCTTGTAGCTACCAGAAGTTGTGCGGGAGGACGGGCCTGCGTTTATTTTATTTATTTGTTTGTTTGTTTGTTTGTTTGTTTGTTTTTTGGTGGAACCGGGGATTGAACTCAGGCCCTTGGGCTTGCCAGGGAAGCGCTTATTCCACTGAGCCATCTCCCTGGCCCTGCATTTATTTAGCACATGATTGGTTGACATCAGAAATTGCCTCCAGCCAAGTAAAAAATTATGTAGAAGAGCAAACTATATAAATATCTGTTTCTTGTTTTATAGTTGTTATATTCATGTTTTTATCTTTCAATTGTGAGATTAATATAAAGCATGTTCTTGTGTCTCCTTGTAACCTTTCACTGCCTACCACAGTAGCTCTTCACTATGTTTAATGGCTTTTAACATTAATAAATAAAGTACTGTAGACATTGAAAGGGGGTTTGTATATATACTTAGACATAATTCTTTTCTTCTAATGTGGCATCACTCAGGATACATGAGACATATTAAATTGCTATTGAAGACACTAATTCTCTGATAGTTTCAACATCTATTGTGATTTCATAGTAGTTTATTAACTGTCAAAACTCATGACATTAGACTTAACTGTACATTTAGAAAGGGGCTTAAGAACAGCGTTTAAAGTAAAAGAAAAATATATTCATGAACACAGATACCCAATATATAAAAACAAATTATTTCTGCATATGTTTCTTTTCAGACGATACTTTTAATTTAAACTAAGGAACTGAAACTCAGAAGATAGAGTACATATGTAATTTCCTTTCATTTTTGCCTGAACTTAATTATATCTTGTCTGTGTATTTATAAAAACAAAAATACATTCACCTTTATAAATGCATTTTCATTTGACACTTGGATGAAAACGTGACTTTTATTTTGGCCAAGAAGAATATTTCCAGTGAAGTTTCCTAGTGTTTCTGTGATTACGTCGTTAGCCTGGAGAGACGTAGACGTTCCCTTTCTGGCTGACCTGAATGACCACATCTTTATATAAAGAATAACAGATTGACCCTTATTTTTTCTGCCAATAACACACAGGAACATTGCAATAATTGTCTCAGGCTTTTCACTGACTACTAATTCAGTGACTAAAAGAAATCACTTTACTACATATCTCTTAATTTTCACTTTTATGGTCCTGGGGTTTGAACTCAGGGTCCCGTGTGTACTAGGCTAGGCCTTTGCCACTGAGTTGCCTTTCCAGTCCTTGGTTTTCATCTTTGAAAATTATTCGTTTCTAAGATCTAATAAAATCATCTTATTATGACTCCCTAAGTTTACCATTAAATGTCAGTGGAGATGTAAGACTTAAGATTACTGTGAACTAAAACTGAGCCCCGCCATTTACAAGTCTGGAAAGAATTTCTGTCATTTGAAGAATTAAGAAATACAGTTGGCAAGTCTTGCCTTAACTTTGGTATCTGAACAGTACCTGACCACGAGGGGAATAGACAAGAAACATGCACCGTCTCCTCCTGGAAAGATGACGTCAGTCGGCATAGGGGAGGGCAAGCCTGGCATAGGCTGCTCCTCCCACAGCAGTGTCAAGAGCAACCACCACCCTGAAGGAGCTAGGACAGCGGGGAGCAGGGCTTTGTGAAATGAATTGAGTCCCCAACTGCGGACAAGTTTGAGGGGCTTTTGACAGAATGCCAGCCAGGTCCTAATTATAAAACAGTAAGGGCATTCCCATTCAATCAGAACAGAGTGACATTGTATGATGTCATTATAACTCTGTTTTGGAAATTCTAGCTAAAATAGAGTAAAGGATGAAACTAATGAAAAAGAATAGACAAATGAATGTGCTTTGAAGATAATGGATTACAGACCTATAAAACCTAAGAGAGTTACTGAAACACTATTGGAATTAATAAGGAATGCAGTAAAAAGTGCCTGGGTTTAAGATAAGTCTGTAAAAAGTAGTGATCTTTTAACTAACTAGCAACCAATGAGAAGACACAGCCAGGTGTGCAGGCACACACTTGTGATCCCAGCGCTTGGGAGGCTAAGATAGTGCTCAGTTCAAGGCCAGCCTGCGCTACACAATACAAATACAAATAATAGTAATAATAATAATTATTATTATTATACAATGGCACAAAAGTTTTTTAGAAAAAAGCAAAGCATTAAATACCTAAGAATAAATTTAATTATAATGTGAAGACTAATGTATTGTTATATTCTATTTAAAGGCAGTATATTATAGTTATTAGCTTTAAATTAATTTGGATAATACAACCCAGTATTAATAAAGTGTTCAGGATTGAGATTTTGATGAAACAGTTCTAAAATTTATATAAAGAAATTAGAATAAGATGCTTTCAGCAAAAAGTTTTTCTAATAAAATATGTGGTAAAGGTACAATAGTTCTAATAGTATGGGGTTGGTATTAGGATATATATATAGATATATATATATATCTATATATATATAGTAGTAAATGATTTAATTAGATCCATGAAATCTGTAGCCAAGTACAGACACTGGATCGGTGTCCTATCTAATAATGCGGCAGCATAGATCAGTGAGAAGAGAAAGAGGCGTACATGGAGCCAGAACAGTTATTTAATAAGAATATTTATATTTGTGCCTTGCATATCCTGAGATTTCCTATATGTTAGCTTTTTGTGTGTGTGCTGTGTGGAACTGGGACCTTCAGGCTGACCTATGTCCCCAGCATGTGTTTCATGCAGTTGCTAAGCTGTCCAGGCTGAGCCGGGACTTGGAACCGTCCTGCCTCATCCTCCCAGAGTGCTGTAGTCATGGACATGTGCTCCATATCAACTGTATATTAAATAACTTTTAAAGTTATAAATAATAAAGGGCCGGGGAGGTGGCTCAGTGGAAGAAGCGCTTCCCTGGCAAGCGCAAGGTTCCGAGTTCAATCCCCGGCCCCGCAAAAAAAAAAAAAAAAAAAAGTTAGAAATAATAAGCATAACTTTAAAATACTCTGTTAAGTGATATATTTTATTTTGGCTTTAGTGGTCAGAATCTGTCATGGAATTCAGAGTTCATGTCATACTGTAAAGCTTACCAAAATTATTACTTTTCATTTTTCTCCCTTCCTTTATAGATATTCGAATACCACTAATGTGGAAAGACTCAGATCACTTCAACAACAAAGAACGTATGTATGATCTTAATTTGTGATTGAAATGTTTTCTTTGGCTTATAGGAAATTTGTGATTATTAAGGAAAAGACTTCTTCCACAATGAAATAAGTTGGTATCATTTGACAGAATAGGCAGAACCTTGTTCAACTGTTGTTTTCTGATTTTTAGTATAAATATGTTACAGTCCCTTGATACTAAGATGGTCCTTGTCAGTTGTGCTTGGCAGTTAACGGAGTCTGCGCAAGGCCAGTAAGTAGTGGCCTCTGTGCAGAGACAGGTGGAAGGTAGGGACCAAGGAAAATGCGTAAGGAAAAGGGAAAGGCAGCATTTCTTCTGTTGGACCAGAATTTGCAAGACCTTTCGTGCCTTATTTTGTTATGTTCGATTATTTAACAAAGTAAAATAAAGATTTTAAGCTTGATTCCATTTTTTCCTTCAGCATTGTATTTTGTGGCTTCATGCATTCCTCACAAATCTGTGGATTGCATAGGTCATGGAAATTAACCTCAAGTGATTTCTAGCTGTTAGCAGCAAAAGATATGGTAATCCTTTATCTCTTTCTCTGTTGTGATAGCTTTTATCTTCACAGTTTAAAAACTGAATCATATTGAGAGTAATTAGTTTTATATGAAGAATTTAAAATCAAGTTAGTATTTGTTATTCAATTAGGAAATATAATTTACTTTACAAAGGAATTCATGTGGGAATTAAGTCTTTCTGATTTCTATAGAGAATAAGTTTTTTTTAAAGAGCTATAGTTTCTCAGTAATGAAGATTTATTCTTTTTATCAACTAAAACCTCACCAAATTAAAAGACCTCCCAGCTATGTTTTCTCTGCCTGACCGCCCGCCCGCCCGCCTGCCTTCCTGCCTTTGCGGTTTCCTCCTTTACCTTTGGTTTGGTAGAATATCTTTGGTGTTATTACTGTGCCTACCCTTGATCTCTTCTAACAAAAAGCGTATTCCTCTTAAACAGAATTAAATATTAAACTAACAGAAATAATAGTATATGTATATATTAATAAATTTACTTTTAAAGTTTGAACAGTTTTCTTCTAATAAAATTAATGACTTATAGTTCTTTAAACTCCGAGAATCCTACATTTTTAACTTAGCTTTTGGTACCCAGGTTTAAGGATTGTCTGTGAGTTGAATAAGGTTGTTACCAAAACATCCGCTACTGTGCATTTCTGTAATTTCAGTACTGGGGAGGCTGAGGCAGCACTGTTGCGAGTTTGAGGCCAGCCTGCGCTACATAACAAGTTTAAGTCTCAAAGACAAAAACACACAAAAAGAGCGGGCCACTATGAAATGTAAAAGATTATAATCTATTAAAAATTATTAATGATTATTGAAGGTATTTTTCATTTTCAAGATTAAGATAGCTGGATTTACCACATGTATTATTGCTTAAAGTGCTGTCTTTTTTCTCTAGAATCAGAGCGCTATGCCATTTTCTGTTTGTTCAAAATGGGAGCTGAAGTTTTTGATACTGATGTGCTGATCGTGGATAAAACAATTACAGATATATGTTTTGAAAATATAACGATATTGTGAGTATCTTTCATCTTAAGAGAATAAAAATTATCTTAAGTTCTACTTTTATAAAAAGATCTAATTATTGGGCCGTTCTTGTTGCCTAATTATTGAATCCTTGGATTCTTTTTTTTTTTTTTTTTTTTTCCTTTGTCTTTTGTCTTTTTGAGACTGGGTCTCACAGTGCAGCTCAGGCTGGCCTTGAACTCAGTTTGTATCCCAGGCTGGTCTTGAACTTGATATGACCCTCCTGCTTCTGCCTCCCAGTGCTGGGATTGCAGGCCTGCACCATCATGCCTGGCCTAACTTCTTTTTGAAGTATTAAGATCTTTGAATGTTTAAAATGATTTTTAAAATTCTTTCTTCAAAAGAATCCCTTTTCTTTATTTGCAGTTTTCTGATGTAAAATAGAAACAAATTTTTTAATTAGCAAATATTTGCCTCACTGGATATGAATAATTGTTAAATTTTTGCAAATTATTAAAGCATCAATACACTGGTTTTTATTTAATTTATTTAGAATGAGTTTGATTAGAACATAGGTCTTTAACCCAGTGTGGTGGCATACTCCTTTATTCCCAGCATTTGGCAGGCTAAGACAGGAAGATCTCTGAGAGTTCGTGGCCAGCCAGTGCTACATAGTGAGCTCAAGGCTAGCCTGAACCGCATAATGAGACTCTGTCGGAAAAGCCAAAAGAAAGTAGATCTTTCATTTCATGTAAGAGATTTAACTACAAAAGGATGGGATTGGGGAGATGTCTCAGTTGCATAAGCGCCTGCCTAGCAAGCTCAAGGTCCTGAGTTTGATCCCCGGTACCAAAAAAATAAATAGAAGGATGGAAATAGTAAAGCAACTTTGTTTATAAGATAGTCTGCAGTGTGTATGTATCATAGGAAAGACACTTTGGTAAAACTTGGAGGGCGTTCTTTTCTTATGGTGCATTTCTTGTGTGTACTCAAGTTAAAAGAGTAAAAAAAAAAGCCAGCGCTCATCAGCGCTGGTTTTATTGCCCCTGCTCCTTCACAGGCTCCTTTTATGTGGTCATAATACAGAACCAGAACTACTCAGGTAGCCGCTGAAATTACTTGTAACTCACATAAGTTTTTGCTGGCCTCTTCCAGAGGTTCTGTTGGCCTAAGTCATGGTGGGGTTTGTGGTTCTGTAAGGCTTGCAAAGATACTGTCTTCATATCTAAATGTTAAATAGTTAGTTTGAACTATTAAGATAGAACCGACATTGCATGTGTTTTCCATTTTCAGTTGTGGAGCTGCATTTGATACTCCAGAGCACTTGCTTTGCCATTCCCGTAGTGTTGAAAGGACCACGGCCAAGCGTGTTCTGTGGTTTCTGGTCCAGTGTTCCGTTGTAATTGTGTAGTGCAGAGAAACAAAATGTGTGTTTGCCCTATCAGGAACGCAGACATTCTTGCAAGCTATATCGAACTAGAAAAATTTGTTTAGGACCCAGAAGGAAAAGAAAAAATCCAGTTCTCAAATGGTTGTATAACTGAGGCTAAATTTTTTTCTAAATGTGTTTATTATCTAAATACATTTATTACCAGCTATTAATACATTTTTCTGCCCAAATTATACTGTCAGTGGGCTCTTTTTTTCCACATCACTTGCCATTGTTTGGTTTTTGTCAGAGAAAGAACAATGCAAAGTACTTGGAAAGAAAGCGCATGATTTATATATATATTTTTAATTCTGTAAATATTTTAAATTGTTCTAAAAATAACTGCTGACAAATGTTCTAAATGTTTAAAAATGTGCTTTTTGTTATGATTGTTTTTAATAAGTATTCAATATTTATGAATCTCTGGTTCCCTCTAAATATTGACATTTGTTAGTCATTACCAGGAATAGTGTATGGTTAGAAGCTGCCAAATAATAAACTATAAAAAATATCTGGAAGTTATTCCTTGGATTTACCCGGCCTACATATTGGCCATTTAAATCTTAAAAGTCTATGTTGCATTTTTAATATCACCGATGTTGACGGATGTTCTGTCTGTACCCTTTTCACAGTCTCGCGTGTGTCTCATTGCTGGTACCACTGCTGCAGACTTTATGCTAATAGTAGTTTATCATTCTGAAAAAGGGAAAGTCAGTCTCAGCATTTGCTAAAATTGCAGCATTTCTTCATGTTGGTTCAATAAATATGTGTCAAGTGCTTTGTAGTTCCAGGCACGATGCTAGGCTAAAAATACAAAGATTACCATGATAGCACTTGCCCTCCAGGAGTTCATGCTTTGAACTATATCCTTTTATATTGGTTTCATGGGTTTTTTTTCCCCTAAATAACCACATAGTAAAAATGTTTTTAGTTATTAGATACAAAAATGCGGTGCGGGGCCTATGGAGGTGAACTGGCTGTAGTAACTCTAAAGGAGTGAGTGCTGGAGGCGTGCGTTGTGTTTTGCAGCAGCCATGTGAGACGCTACAGGAAGACCTGCAAAATGGAAGAGCTGCTGAAGGGAGGCTAGCACTGAGCACAAGTGACATGAGAACTTTGTTCTGTTTCATTGAGTTGTGTACCTGCGTGCCTTAGTTCAGTTAAGGCTGCCTAGCTTAGAAGCTGATAGCCAGGAACATTGTATTTGTAGTGACTGTTAGGTCATTTACGCACTAAACAAACATTGTTTCTATATCGTATGTTAAAGACCGATTTTGACTGTATGAAAGCATCAAAGGATTTTGTAATTTTATTTTCTACTGAGTTGCATTTTTAACCTTATACTCTTTGTTTTAGTAATGAAGCCAGCCCAGACTTTAAAATAAAGGTAGAAGTATATAGTTGCTGTACAGAAGAATCTTCCATAACCAACACACCAAAGAAGCTAGCTAAGAAACTGAAGACATCCATAAGTAAAGCTGCAGGAAAGAAAATAGCCTCAGCACTTCAAGGCGAGAATCATGAAACGTGCTTGTTCTTCAGTTCTTCCCTTTTGTAAGTTTTCTAATATAATATTTATGGTAACATAATTTATACATATGTAATACTTCAAAGTAGTGTGTATGTGTGGAGTAAATGTTTACATTTTAAGTAGAAAAACATCCAGGAGCAGAAATGGTTGTCTGATGTATACGCAGCGGAATACCCTTAATATCTTCCTTCAATGGTCAGAACTCAGGAGACAGAATGTATTCAGTAGTTTTCAATTCCAGTATCTAGCAGAGAGATGAACTGTTTTCATTTCTTTCAGAAATGGGTATGTTAGAGCACTTGCTGCCTGTCAGTTTAATTGTATTTAATTGGATTTCTACTCATACACCATGTTTTATTTCATAGTTTTAAATTTTTATCGGAGCTGGAGAGATGGCTCAGTGGTGTAAAGCACCTACTTGGAACAAGCTTGGCAAAGCACAGGGACCGTGGTTCGATCCCCCAGCACCACATGCCAGCCAGCCGCGCCCCCTGGTGGGCTGAGCTGGCCACACACACACACACACACACACACACACAAAATGTTAAAATAAATAAATAAAAATAAATTTTTATCACTTTTTAATAAACCAGCATTATCATCACACTTATCAATAAAAATAAATTCTTAATATAATCTAATATCTATCATATATGCAATTTACATCAGTCCTAAAAGTTTTTTATTTACTTATTTAAATTTTTTTTTTTTTAATTTTTATGTATTTGGTACAGGGTCTCACTGTGCAGCTCAGACTTGCGGTGATCCTATTTTCAGCCTCCCCATCCCTGGGATTACAGGTCTGCGCCACCATACTCGGCCTTGGTGGCTGGCTCAGTGCACCTGGGCCCAGGGCCAGGGCCAGCACGGCATGTGTTGCCAGGGATGGTCCCTGCGCTTGCCTAACAGGTGCTTAGTCTGCTGAGTTATCTTGCCAGCCCTTTGAAAGTCTTCTTTTGATTTTTGTTTTTGTTCAAATTAGAATCAAAGGAAAGTCTACATGTTAGCATTTAAGTAAATCTTCAAAGTTTCTCTTAATGTACTATATATATTTTGAATGTGATTCTTTCTCTATAGTGCTTTCTTCTTTCAGCATTTTCTGGCCCCTGTATCCCTCTCCAGGGTGAAGGGTGAGCAGGCTGAGGCTCTTCCAGGGAAGGGTGCTCGTGCTCAGGCGGAGTCGCACTTGCTCTCATTAGGAAGCTTTCCTACTTCTAGTTCAGCTGCTGCTGTCTTCCATCCATAATCAAGTTTCCTATTAATCTTTTTAATGCTTTTAGCAGCTGTTGCTACTCATTTTTAATTTCATTACTTATAATTTGATGGCTTCTTAAACTTGTGCTACATTGTCATCTTTTCTGAGGGCTCTAGGGTCTCACTGTGGCATTCAGGCTGGCCTTGAACTCACTTTGTAGCCCAAGCTAGCCTCAAACAATGATCTTCTTGCCTCAGCTTCCTGTGTGCTGGGATTACAAGTGTGTGCTATCATGCCTTATTTCTTTTAATTAATTACTTAGTACTGGGAATTGAAATCAGGACCTCACGCTTGCCAGGCAGGCGCTTATGCTGCTGAGTTGTCTCCCTGGCCCCACCATTTTCACTTTAAACTTGCACTTGTGTGAAGAACCTTTCTTCAGAAACTCACTGGATACAACTGCAATACAATTGGTGGAGGCAATGAAGGAAAACAGCTCTTAAGTCTTTTTAATCTAGTGCTGGGGGTTGAACACAGGGCCAGTGCGCTAAGATGCAAGGATGCACCCCCGCTATGACAAGGTCTTGCCGAGCTGCTAAGTTGCCAGCTGGACTCTCACTTGCAGCGCAGCCCTGCTTTAGCCTTCCAGAGTGCTGGGATCACAGATGGATGACACTGTTGAGTCTTAGAATTACCACATTTTTGCATAAAATAAGTTGTTGTCCTAGCAGCTATGGAGACGAACGGAGTTGTTCCTTGAACTCTTAAATTTTTATATATTTCTGTTTTATTCTGTTGTAGTTATTATTCTCTTTGATGCCCATTGTCTGATCTCTGACCAGGAAAACCTTTGAGATGACTACTGCATCCTTTTGGTACTGCCTAATCTTTGATTATCTTTTTCTTCTGTGGCACAAAATAAGTGGCTCCCTGTTAATCTTGTGTTTTTCTGTCTGGATTTGGAAATATCCTTGCTCCAGGAGCCCTGCCTTTTTTCAGATACCATCTTTAAATATTATATTTGTTTTTTCACAGTTTTATATTTATGTTTTGTTGGGAAGCCACTTATCAGTCTGCACGCCTAGAATGTTTTTACATGTCTTAGTAGAGTTGGCTCTTTAGCATGTCAGCCTTACCATATTATAGAAAATGAGGTATTTTAGTATTAGATCTTGTAACATCAGCCACCAAACTGTAATTAAATTGCTCCTTTCATGTCAGGTATATTAAATATGAAATGTATATTGACATTCTAGCATAGTGGCTTTTCTGTTTTGATTGAGACTCATATTAAGAAATATATTTTACAATGTGATTGAATGCACAGCTGCTTAAGCAGGTAAATCACATGCAGGAATATTTAATCCTTACTATTACAATTATTAAGATTTTTTTAAATTCTTATTTTCTGTTTTTATAAAGATGATATTTGTGAATCATGAAATTAATGTTACGGTTCTTGAATAGTCCAGAGTCTGAAGTCAGTCATAGAAGATTTGGCTCTTTCTAATAAAAATGTCATTTTATTATTAAAGGTGGGGGGGCAGAGAACCTTAATTTACTTCCTTGAGATCTAAGACTATCTTAAAAACTATTTTACATTAAGATTTTATCATGGATTTACTGGAATGTACTTTAATTCAATCATAAGATAGTGGACCTATTTCTTTTTTTATGATTAGATCATTTTTTCTAGGTTGAAACATAGTTTTTAAAACTGAGAGAGACCTTAGAAATAATTTTCTAGTTGAATAGTTTCAAAATTTTTTAAAGAGCAAATTTTCTTGTTTAAGAAATATCAAGACCAGCGCTGCCTTTCATCCGGCACAGTGACTCTGGACACGGGACATTTCTCCTGAGCCTCAGTTTCCCTCAAGTGAAATGTGAAGATGCTCGGATTCAACCATTTCATGGCAGAAAGCTCCTCAGAGACATTTCTAGAGGTCCATCTCCACTGAAGCATTGAAAGACAATGAGTGGAGTTGTCAGACAGTTCAAAACTGTTGTCTGGCAGTGAATACTTAATTTTTTATTCCATTATTTATTTCTCATCTGACCCAGGCCAATTAATCTTTTTTCTGGAACTTTTTTTCTCTTTGTAAAATGAAAATAATGATGATAGTGCAATAATAGCTAATTCTATAGGTTCCTTTGAGGTTCAGCAAGATAATTTATCGGTCTGGCATAAAGTAAGCATTTATTAAATGTATGTGTTCCTCTTCTTGTTACTGTGGTTCCTGCTCGCAGACTAGTGCTTTTCCTAAGCCTTTTCGTGGACCTGCGCTGAAGCACTGCACATCACAAGTGTGGCCTAGGGTTATAAAAATGGACTTTTTTTCCCATTTAAAACCACACTTACACAATTTCATAGGAGAAGAGAATCTAAATTATGTGAGAACCTGTATTTCTCCTTTAGAACTAGATTATTTTTGAGAATATTGTGCATTTATTGTGTGTTAAATTCTTTTAAGTAAGGATCATTTTTCTTGAGGATTTTATTCCCCTATTTAGGTTCATTATTCTACTTTGTGAATCCCCAAATTCAAATCCACTTTTCTTTGTGGAGATTTCCTTTGAAATTTGCATGCCATGCTTGTTTTACACCAGTAAAGTGGGGCAAGAGATACGCTGATACCTTTTATTTAATCACACTAAATTACGTTCTCCTAGCACCAGCTTTTTGCTCTTCCTTCTGGTGTGTACGTAGGGTATGCTGGGTTGCAGTCAAAGTTCAGGACCACTTTACTGATGCTTTCTTAACTATCCGCTTCTACACAAAGTGTATAAGTGATCAATTTTATTTATTTAATGATGATCTGATTCATTATTAAAGACTTCTGCTTCAGATTTTAGTCTTTAACTGAAATAGCATGCAGAAAACAAATGTGTCTTTTCTAGTAATGCGGCAATAACATGGAACCAAATATAGCTGTTTCTCCTGACAAGTACATTTTTTTCAGGCTACCATTTAAGTAGTTAGTTATTTTTTATACCATTTTTATACCATACCCCCAGGCAGCAAAATGTGTTAACAATTGTCTTATTTGGTAGAAAAAATGTAACTGATTAAACTTTTGGAAACTCAACGTTAGAGTTGACTGAAAGGAATGAGTGCAATGTTTTAGAAAGAAAATGCTATCCTGACAGAAATGTTTTACAAGTGAAGTCATTGTTGGTTTTGGTAGCAACGATACTGTGATTAGTAATGGTTTAAAAATGAAGTAACTTGAAATATCCTGAAGTACTGCTGGATCTGTAAGAAGACGCTGAACATTTTTGGTAATTTTTAGTATGCTTCCTGATGTGACTATTTATTCATTCTACTTTGTGGAATTTAACTTACTGAAACTTCTTTAATGAAATTTTCCCAGTGTATCTAATAACTGATTTAATTGTGTTATGCTCCTTGATAGCTATTTGGTACATTAGTCTTAATTGTATGGACATACATCTTTTTAAAAATGATTTTGTGAAAACTAGTTAAATTGTGTTTTTTTTTTTAACTTGACAAAATGATTTATTAAGATTTTTTTAAAAACAAGCCATATACTATATTTAAAAGTAGATGGACGTTATAAGTGTGCTAACATTTATCTGGAAAAAATAGATCATGTAGGAACAATGGTGTTAAAGATTTAGGGGTGGGATTGATAATACAAATTTTAAATATAACTAAGAAATTATTAAACTTCTGTAGATAATTTGTTCATTTGATTAATTGAAGTGATTTTTCAGCAGTTACATCATGTGGTATATTCATGTAGTACACTGAATCCATAAATCATCACTTTGTGCACTCAAAATTCTTGCAGTATGTGCACAACATGG